TTGGAAAGAAGGAGGGAGGCGAGGGGATGCTATCAAAGCAAGCTTTGGGGTGGCTTAGGATTTGACCAATAGCGGCAAAGTTTGCGCGTACCCCTGATTGGCGGATAGTTGAGGTAATTTGAAGGGAAAAATGTTAGCTCGCTTTTTTCAAACAGTGGACTACTAGAGAGACCCTTAAGCATTTCGTTGTAAAGCTGTTTTAGAGGGAATTTGAGTTGAGAGGAATTTAACAAAAGCTCGGTAGGAATATCCTCTGCTTTAGATAATGAAATTAACCGGAGGAAACTATCCAGCTCCATTAAAAATCCTAAAAACAGTACGTACAGGACTAGTAGAGGGACCAACGGAAGGATATACCGCGGAGTCGCAGGTTTTCTTTCGATACTTTTCCCTATGAACAATTCCTGGGAAAAACCGTTTTCAGAGCTTTGGTGAACTCATTCAAACCCATCAATCCAAAGCTTTGGTTGGATTGTTCACTGGATCCACTGAGTGTAAGAAGAACAAATATGGCCAAGGATTACCAGTGAAGTTGGTGTTGCTAAGTTCGACTATTGCATCTTCCCTTTGTCCCGAAAATTTGCAAAAATTGATTTTTTTCTAGAGAAGTAGCTGTAGTAGGTGCTGGACTCATGGGAGCTGGTATTGCTAACGTTACGATCGACAAAGGTCTGAAGTGCGTGCTATTGGATATGAATGAACAGGTAGATAGAAATTTTTTGTTCCAGATAATTTTTTGAAAAAATTTAAGTTTGAGAGAATGACCAGAAAGTTTCTGATGTCATTTTCTCGCAGAAGCAACTCAATATTTTTGTTTGATAAATGAGGTTGGTATAAGTTCAACAACAAATCTTCCTAATACAACTTGAAAAATCACCATTTGAAACATAGAGGAAACTAAGACGTAACGATACTACATTTTAGTAGGTAAAACATAAGATGAGCTCTTTGAAATCCACTTATCCTTGAACTTTGCAAATTTCTTTTTTCTAAAATAAGTTAGTCGACTCTTCAAATTTGGCAAAAGAATTCTTTCCACATTTCAAAGTTCTACACTATTTTTCTAACAACATCTACCTCCTACATCTCATTCTAGGGTCTAGAGCGTGGTAGAAATCAAATCGCTAATCATCTCAATGGTCAGATGAAGCGAAGAAAGATCAACAAACTGGAGAAAGAAAGGTGACAGTCCATCTTTTCTAATTGATTGAATGAATTGGATTGTAAGGCTTATCTTTTTAACTTTTTTTTAGAATGGTTTCAAATTTGGTTGCTTCCTGTGATTACAACTCTATGAAAAATGCCGACATAGTGATAGAAGCTGTGTTCGAGGATCTGTCGTTAAAACACAAAGTCATCAAACAAATCGAGGGTATCGTTGGAAAGGTACGTAAATCTTAGCAAATTCTTTCAAGTAGGAAGTCTAGAGCCGTATATGGATTGGCAGATATGCATTCTTAAAAATAATTCCACTTTATTGAAGCTATAATTTTAGGATACAATCATCGCATCCAACACGTCCGCTCTACCAATTAAGGAGATTGCCAAGGCTTCAGCACGACCGGATAAGGTTTGCCTAACCGCTCTTGACTTTTTCAAACAACTTTTTTCTGACTAATGATTCAGAGAACTTCAATCTCATACAGATTTTAGGATATTTAAATATAGTCTTTAGGTTATTGGCATGCACTACTTTTCTCCTGTAGAAAAAATGCAACTACTGGAAATTATTGTCCATGATGGTACGTCAAAAGAAACTTTGGCCACCGCAGCCCAAATTGGATTGAAGCAAGGCAAGACTGTTGTCGTCGTCAAGGTAAA